CGCTGCGTGCTATGTTTGCTGACCTGCAATTCTTCCCGTCATCTGCAGACCCTTCGCTCTTTGTTCGTTCAGGCCAGACCCCGTTCTACATCCTTGTCTGCGTTTTTGACCTGGTCTTCTACGTTGGTGCCATAGGGGCACAGGAGCTCCGCTAGCTGACTTTCTTGCTCACAGACTTAGGTGAGCACCCTAGCTCCGCCCCGATCCTGTACGCTGACAGCAGGGCCATGATCCTCCTGTGTCAGGAGCCTTGACTGGAGTGCAGAGCAAAGCACATCCAGCTGCGGTACTTCCTCCTGCGCGAGTTACAGCACCGCCGCCAGGCCCGCGTAGTACACATGGCCTCCGGTGCCAACACAGCTTATATTTTTAGTAAGGCGTTTGCGCCTAAAGATCATCAGCAGCACTGTGTCCAGCTTGGTCTAGTTCATGTAGCTCCTCACTTGCTAGGACCTTGATTGTGTACCACTCGTCATATATATACTTCTTACTGGCCTTGTGGCTTCTCTTCTTCCAGTGGCCAGACTAGTAGTGCCACTCTGAGTTACGTGTCTCTTGCTAGGCACTGCCCCTTATCTAGCCTAGGGGGTGTCTCAAACATATATGCATATATTATTATAGGCTAGATAGGTGAATGCTCTTAGAGAGTATATCACTAGGACAAAACTACCATGTACCTTCTATTCTAGTCAATTCATTTCTCCGAGAGTATACCCGACAGAGTTACCATTTATGCAATTCTGATATCATACTTAGACTGTAAAGTATACACCCGAATATAAACGCAACCATTTATTAAGCCCACAGGCTTATGCAGTGCAAACGCGTTATATATGTTAATTTCATTATAAGCGCACCCTGTTTTTTGGAGGATGCGTTTATTATAAGCGCATTACACTTCGAAAACAACACAAGTGAAATGCAAAATTTGTATCGAAATGCCGAGCCGTACCTTCCGCAGCCCACCCAAGCACCTTGTGACACATGGGCGCGATTTCCGCTCAGTATATTCAGCTCAGACTCGCTCGATTACAACAAGGATTTGTTGGCGGGACATTCGGTAGTCCACTCCGCAAAATTTATCAATACGACCCCCATGTGAGTTTGGCCTATTCTAACAGGTATTTTTTTCCTTATGTTACTTTTATTAAGCGCATGGGGTTATACATTTAACTTGATTATAAGCGCAGGTGATTTTGCAAGGGGTTCCATTATCAGCCCATACGCGGCTATATCCGGGTGTATACATTATTAGTAGCATGATACCTAATATGGAAGGATGCAAATGATGATGTCTGTAGTAGCGAGTCAACGCGTCAACAGTAGGTTCGCGTGTATAGTCACCTGAAGGGTCACGCCACTCTCAGTCACACGAACAACCACTAGTCTTGTCACGCGAATAGTCGCGATACACTACGAACATGTACATTCCGTATAGGAACTTGCTAGACTAAAAATATGGCAGTATTGTTACAATAACTGAATGATTAGAACAAAGAGGGAACAAGGGAGATATAGGGTTTGGTTTCAACTGTCTAAGAACACACATCTATTCTAGCCTATAACTTCAACATGCAAATGTATGTATAAGTTGACACATCCCCTAGGCTAGATAAGGGGTAGTGCTGAGTAAGAAGCACAGAGCTTAGGGTGGCACTACTAGTCCAACCTCTGAGACAGGGATCCGAAGACCAATCAGCAAGAGTACAAACAAGACAGGAGCAAACCAAGGCCAAGGTAGCGGCGCAGCTCTCCTAGGTCAGTGCAGGTGTGTCTCCTCAGCAGCTCGACCTTCACGGAGGTCAGTGCATCTCTGTCTGCAGTAGCGAAGACCAGGTCGTGTACGTAGACAAGGATGTAAAACATAGTCTGGCTAGCACAAACGAGGAGCGAGGGGTCTGCAGAGGACAAAAAGAATTGCAGGTGTCATGCCACTCACGGGGCGCCTGTCGCAGGCCGTAGACTGGGCGCCAAAGGAGCCACTGGGTCCTAGGAGGAAAGGTACCAGTAAAGCCTTGAGGATGGCGCAATTAGAACTGCTCGTATAGGCTGCCCTAAAGAAACACAGTGGAGAAGTCGAGGGAGTGTAACTCGTAGTCACGCTGTGCTGCTACGTATAGCAGCGCTCGAAGAGTAGTCATCTTCGGGGTCGAGGCGAAGGTCTGAAAGAAGTCCACCCCCTCATGCTGACTGAAGCCTCTAGCCACATAGCGCGCCTTGAAGATAGGCGGCTCCCCAGTGGGGCGCTTCACCTTGAAGAGCCATTGGCCATCGACTACGTTCACCCCATGTGGGGGAGCTGCGTCGACGTAGGTGCCGGTGGATCTCCAAGATGCCAGCTCTTGCTCCATGGTAGCTATCCACTGAGAGGCCCAGGGTCCCGAGGTCACCTCAGCGTAAGTGCGAGGGGTTGGCATGTCAAAGGTGTCAGGGTCACCCTCAGGGACTAACAGCATAGAGCAGAGATGGGGAGCAGCCTCGGACAGGAAAGCAAGCTCGAACTGCCTGTCCTCTAGGACGTCACTGCCAAGGTCAGACGCACCCCCAATGGACGGAGGACAGAAAGAGTCAGAGACCAGAGCGGTGGCGTAGTCAAGGCGGCAGGTAGAGGCAAAGTCAGCGACAGCAATGACAAGAGCGTCAAGACTGGAGACAGGAACAGACGGGTCGGTAACGAGGGAGGCAAGGATCCGAGGAATGAGAGGACTAGCGGCAGGAAGGAAGTCAGATAGAGGAGGCGGAGCGACAACAAGCGAGGACGGAGGAGGCGACGGGAGGAGCGGAGGGCGAGACGCGTGGGAACGGAGCAACATAGGGTGAGAGCGCTGAACAGGAGAGACAGGACGGGCAGGAGAGGGACGGTGAGACCAGAATTCGAACGGAGGCGTGGGGTCACGAGACATAGGAGGAGACAGAGGAGGAGAACGAGGGGGGAATCGAGCTGGAGACTAGTCCAGCAGCGGAAATACAGGGCCGTAGACAGGCAGGGGAGGCGGCTGAAGGGGAAGCACTGGTGGGTGGTCAGGGGAGGGAAGACTGAGGAGGCGAAGGGTGGACATCGGCGGCGACTGCTGCTGCAGCTGCTGCTCCAAGCTGACACCAGAACCTCCAGCTGCACAACGACTACCTCCAGGACTCTCCACACCAACACCCTCTGGACGAGAACCCCCTCCAGCACTGATTCCACCCCCAGGACTACCACCCCCAGGAATAGCACCCCCAGAACGAGTACCCTCCCGAGCACTGGTGCCACACCCAGGACCACCGGGATCGGCTACGATAGTAACCCCAGGACTACCACCCTGCTCAACGCTCGAACCCCCAGAGCTGGAGGACCCCTGCGGCAGCTGTTATTGTGGCGACGGCGACTGCGATTGCTGCTGCAGCTGCGACGGCGGTGACAGCTGCGACGGCTGTTGCTGCGGCAACGGCGGAGGAGGAGACTCTGGGGCGGACACAAGCGGTGAGAACGGTGCCGCGGGGCCACCAGCGTCAGCCAATTGCGTCCGCCTGCAGCATGTCGTAACCGTCGTAGCATCTTTGTCGTGAAACTGAAATGTTCGCCGCATGTCACTCGCACGTGCCCTCCGATTTAGTCCCAGATTGCCAGAAACGATGCCGTGTATTCTCGGACAGAGCTCAACTGTCTCCACATCCGAAGCTTTGTGCGGGCATTTTCGCGCATGGATATGTGCTCAAATCTGCCCTTCAATGCTTCGCCCCACGCTTTCCACGTGCGTATCGTGGCCGACCCAAAAATTGGTTCCGCGTTGATGAACTCAGCTCCCCATCTACCGCATGTTGATTCCCTGCCGGGGCTCCTCCCTCGTCAAGATGCATGCGCCACCAGTCGAGTGCCGGTCCCCTCAGCAGCGACACAACCAAGTTGAAACGTAATGCATTGTCATTAATACTTGCTGCCGTGAAGAAAATTTCCATGGCGAACAGCCACCTGCTCACTGTTGTTGTCCTGTCGGGTTGAACGGTGGAGGCATTGGTGGTTTGATTCTAATGGCCGCCCGCGGCTCGCGGTGGAATTCTTCAATTGCTTCAGGTGTCGCCGACGCCCTCGCTTCGCTCGCAGCATATTCGTCTCAGGTAACAGGCCGCCCCTGATGCGATTCACCCCGCATCTGGCGAAGCGACTAGTTTTCGGTGTGCAGCATCTGAACTTCGCTTCCCAGCGACTCGAACTTATCCGCGAGTTGTTGAAGCTGGGCCTGCAGTGTCGTCACTGTAGCCACCCTGGCTTGCAACTCTTCAAACTCCTCCTGATTCGCATTCCTAACACTACGACGGGCAGAGGTTTCCGGCGTGGCAGACACGCTGGAAATTTTACATGACAGATCTGAGGGTGCACACGCTGTTAGTTGTAGGAGCTTTAATGAGCTCGCCTACCAACCGCTGGCCAACCCACTATTCTGTCGGGTCCTCTCCCGATATGGATGGACTACTCTACGGAAGACTAAGCGGGCAGGAACGGAGCTGTTATACCAGCTGTTATGAATTGATAAGAGTAAAAACAGGTAGTGTAATAAAGGAGTCGTGATTCAAGCGTGTCGATACTGTACAAACAAGGGCTTAGGCATGTGTAGGCACGAGCAGAGCAAGCCGAGAACCACGCGAACAGGTTGGGGCGGTCCGTTTGGCGAAAGCCATGGGAAGGCTGCGCGTCGAGGTTTGGGTTCGCGAGATGGTTCAGGGCTGATGTAGTTGGCCGAGCCTGGACTTCCGAGATTCGAGGGCGTACGCGCTGTAGTCGAGCCCAGTAAGGAAATGGGAATTTCTGTTACAGAAGCGGCCTGGGCTGTTACCCTGTACAAATTGGGGACAGTGAACAAAGGGGGCGAGCATGGAAGAGGGAGGCGTGTGATTGGACGATGTGAAAATACGCTTTTCGCGAACCCAGCGCAAACTCCGAGCAGAGGAGGTATGGGCAAGGGGATGAAGCGTTGGTTGTAATTTGGGACTGGTAGAAAACCATTTTATTCACAAAACGGAGCTATGTCGTTGAATTTCCTAGCGCAGTTCGCAAGCCGATCTAGGATAGCCCTGTTTCCAGCGATCGCGTCGGTCCAGCCTTCTAATGCTGGGGACTCAGCTTCACTCTCATAGCCACCTCAATGCGCGCATCATCCTGCTCCCAAATGCCCACCGCTGCCTTAATCCCCGAGGGACCCCACGCGTTCGTCATTCCCGCATCCCACGCACTCTGCCCCAAGCTCGCGGCAGCTGCCCGTTACCCGCTCTCCGCCGCCGTCGGATGTGGTTGGCTGTGAATCGGGAGCCTCTTCCCGCTGCTTCCTGCTTCGCGCAGCCCGCGCGACCAGCTGCGCTCGCATCGGCCACCCGCCCGCGGTCACGCCGTCGCACGATGCATCCAAGGCTACACGAGCAGGAAGGGAGTGAGGCGATAGAGCAGGGAGGACGAGAGGCGAGAGAGCAGGGAGGAAGAGAGGCGAGAGAGCGGGGAGGAAGAGAGGCGAGAGAGCGGGGAGGAAGAGAGGCGAGAGAGCGGGGAGGAAGAGAGGCGAGAGAGCGGGGAGGAAGAGAGGCGAGAGAGCGGGGAGAACGAGAGGTGAGGGAGCGGGGAGGAAGAGAGGCGAGAGAGCGGGGAGGAAGGGAGGCGAGAGAGCGGGGAGGAAGAGAGGCGAGAGAGCGGGGAGGAAGATAGGCAAGAGCGCGGGGAGGAAGAGAGGCGATAGAGCGGGAAGAGAGGAGAGAGCGGGGAGGAAGAGAGGCGATAGAACGGGGAGGAAGAGAGGCGAGAGAGTGGGGAGGAAGATAGGCAAGAGAGCGGGGAGGAAGAGAGGCGAGAGAGCGGGGAGGACGCGAGGCGATAGAGCGGGGAGGAAGAGAGGCGAGCGCGTAAGGGAAGGAGAGGCGCGCCAGGAGAAGGGCCGGGAGTGAGGCAAGGGCGTTAGGGAAGGAGAGCGGAGTGAGAGAAGGGGAGGGAGAGAGGCGTGAGAGTGCGGGGAGAGTGAGGGGTTGGAGCAGGGAGGGGTAGTGGAGTAAGAGCACAGTAGGGCGAGAGGAGGGAGAGCAAGGGATGGGGGGAGGAGGGAGAGCAGGGGAGGGGGATAGGAGGGAGGGCAGGGGAGGTGGGCGTGGAGGGCGATCAGAGAAGGGTGAGATGCGTGAGAGCAGGGGAGGGGGAACGGCAGAAAAACACGGGAGAGCAGGGAGGGAGTGAGGCATGAGAGCAGGGAGGGAGTGAGGCATGAGAGCAGGGAGGGAGTGAGGCATGAGAGAAGGGAGGGAGTGAGGCATGAGAGGAGGGAGGGAGTGAGGCATGAGAGCAGGGAGGGAGTGAGGCATGAGAGCAGGGAGGGAGTGCAAAGAGGGAGAGAGAGAAGAGTGCAGAGAGGGAGAGAGAGAAGAGTGCTGGGAGGGAGAGAGAGAAGAGTGCAGGGAGGGAGAGATCAGGGTGCAGGGAGGGAGAGACCAGGGTGCAGGGAGGGAGAGACCAGGGTGCAGGGAGGGAGAGACCAGGGTGCAGGGAGGGAGAAACCAGGGTGCAGGGAGGGAGAGACCAGGGTGCAGGGAGGGAGAGACCAGGGTGCAGGGAGGGAGAGACCAGGTTGCAGGGAGGGAGAGACCAGGGTGCAGGGAGGGAGAGACCAGGGTGCAGGGAGGGAGAGACCAGGGTGCAGGGAGGGAGAGACCAGGGTGCAGGGAGGGAGAGACCAGGGTGCAGGGAGGGAGCGGGTCCCCGCCATTGGGGGAAGGAGAGGAGGTGGCTCGTGAGGTAACTTTGTCCCCCTTTGTCTTCATTCCACCAAACCCCTGTTGTCCCAAAGTTTACAGGTAACCCACGGCCCACGAGGAAGGAGGGAATAGACATGGCGCACCCGGTCACATGGGGGAACTTAGTCAACCTGCAGTTAAATTTGCGAGAACACCAGAGTTATTGGCTGTAAGGTTGCTTGCCGTTTCCAAGCTTTTCAAAGCAGGTCGGACAATGAATGAACAACCAGTAGGCATCTGACTGCTCTTAGCTTGTTATAACCATTGACTTCTACGTGTATGCATATAGATCCTAGCCAAGCCACCACATAGATCCTCGTAGCTACAGCCATAGGCCCCCTAAAGCATGTAACTTATTCTAACGCCCCAGTCTACTGCTCATCCACATTTGGCCTTAGTCTGATAAGTATCGGCAGTGATCCAAGGAAATGAATCCTGATTGTAGCTTCCTATTAGGTCTTTGAGCCACATAGCAGTGGGAAAGCCGAACACCAGGGCCAGGCCATCGTCGCATTCTTGCTCCTTGCTCACCCTCTGGCCATCAGCCAAACCACACGCTCACCGCCCCACGCCCCCCTGGTCCATGCTGTCCTGCCTCTATCCCTCCCTGCTGTCTTGCCTCTCTCCCTCCCTGCTGTCCTGCCTCTCTCCCTCCATGCTGTCCTGCCTCTCTCCCTCCCTGCTGTCCTGCCTCTCTCCCTCCCTGCTGTCCTACCTCTCTCCCTCCATGCTGTCCTGCCTCTCTCCCTCCATGCTGTCCTGCCTCTCTCCCTCCATGCTGTCCTGCCTATCTCCCTCCATGCTGACCTGCCTCTCTCCCTCCCTGCTGTCCTGCCTGGAGGACTTTCGCAGACGCCATGTGGGAGGTGGTGCTTCCACTAGGACTGCTGAGGGGTATGGAGCTGTAGGGCGCGGCAGAGGAAGAGGAGGTTGGAGAGGCCAAGGCCGTGGGAGGAGCTTTGGCAGAGGCAGAGGCCGATGTGACTATAATGAGGGGCATGGCAGCTCTAGTGGCAGGGGGAGTACCAGAATGGAGGGCACCTGCTGGTACCGCAAGAAGGTCGGGCATCCTTGGTTCAAGTGCTTCAGCAGGCCGGAGGGATGGGCACCTCCAGGCATGAAGCCGCCCAGTGGTGAACGCGCACAAGGTGGCGATGTGCAAGGCTCAGGTGCACAAGGTGAAGGTGCACGAGGTAATGCCTCTCCTGGGTTATTTCTCATGGTTGAGGATGTGCATGGGCATGAGGGTGATGTGGGATTTGTGGGAAAGGTTGTGATGCACCCTCTCATGCACTAGGTGATTGATTCAGGTTGCACCAGTCACATGACCCCACGGGCAAATCTGCTTGATGAGGTAAAACCCCTCGGTAAGATTAAGTATGTGGCAACAGCGTCAGGTGCTTTGCTCCCTGTGATGGTGTTGGGAATGCCAAGGTTAAGGGAGCTAATGGAGAACTTGTGGGGCTTGGGAATGTTCTGCTGGTTGAAGGTTTGTCCGCTAACCTTCTCTCTGTGCGGCGACTGTAGAAGAGTAAGGCCGTAGTGACCTTTGGACCAACCAGCTGTCGTGCTAAGCTCGGGAAGAAGGTGCTATGGAGTATGGAGGGGGAGACCAGCTGCATCAAGGACCTGTGGCAGTTGCCCATCATCCCTTGGAATGGGAAGACTCCAACAGCAGCAACGGCAGCAGCGGCAAAGGCAACAGCAGGAGGAGATGCAATTGCACCAACTGATAGGGTCCTGGATGCAGTTAAGAAAGTGCAGCAGTAGCAGACTCATAGTGAGGTGATTGCTGGTGTGGATGCGAGTGCGGCAAGGGCCAATGCTTCATCTAGGAGTGGTGAGGCTGATTGGGAGACGTGGCATGAGAGGCTGGGTCATGTGAACTTCCCTATGCTGCAAAAATTGGTGAAGGACGGGAGCCTGAAGGGCTTGGAGGTGAAGGGGAGAGTGAAGGAGATTGGGAGCTGCCCTATATGCTTGGAGACCAAGTTCTCCAAGTTCCCCTTCAACAGTGCAACAGGACCAGCCAAGACCCCACTTGCACTTGTGCACATGGATGTAGTGGGGCCCACAAGAGCCCCTTCCCTATCAGGTAGCCGCTATTTCTTGACAATTGTGGATGACCACACTTGGGCAGTGTGGGTTTACCCTTTGAAGAGCAAGGGGGGGGGTGGCAGCGGCTGTCCTTAAGGAGTGGATGCCTAGAGCTCAGAGGGAATGCAGACACAAGGTGAAGGTGATCCGCAGTGACAATGGTGGGGAGTTCATTGGAGCTGATTTTGAGGGGGAGTTGAATAGGAAGGGGATCCAGTATCAACTGACAGTGCCCTACAACGCGCAACAAAACGGCGTGGCTGAGAGGTGCAACAGGACCCTACAGGAGGGGGCACGCGCTCTCCTTGGGCATGCAGGGCTGCCTGATCCGTTTTGGGTGTCTGCGCTGAGGCAGGTCGCCCTTGTGAAGAACAGGGTGCTGGCTACAGTTGGAAACAAGGAGTGGATCCCAGATACCAAGTGGTATGGGAGTGCTCCAGCTGTGAATATGCTGAGGGCATTTGGGTGCATGGTGGTGTTTCATGTGCCTAAAGAGAAAATGGGGAAGTTGGAGGCTTCTAGAAGATGGGGTGTGCGCTTGGGGATTGCAAAGGATCACAAGGGGTGGCTGCTATGTGACTTGACCACCCAGAAGTTAACAGTGTCAAGGGATGTGAAGTTTCTTGAGTCCCTGTACTACAAGGAATGGAAGCAGCAGCAACAGAAGCTTCCATCTACACCGCTCATTGTGGATGCAAATGAGGTGCAGAGGCCTTCAAGACAGGTAGAGGTTGCAGTATCTGAGGAGGAAATGTCTGGGGTGACTGAGGAAGGGGGAGCAGCTGAGGTGGAATACCAGCAGCAGCAGCATGAGTCTCCACATCGAGTTCTACACCCACCTGAGCATCCTAGGAGGGATGTGCGCTCTCCAGTGAGGCTGGCCTATGGGGGAAGAGGCAAGCCGAATGTGGTGCAAGCTGGGAGTGTGGTTGAGCAGATTCAGGAAGATGAGATCGCTCAATGATACTGGGCACCAATCCCTGAGCCAAAGACTCGAGAAGAGGCCTTGAATGGACCACATAGGGAGAAGTGGAAGGCGAGTGAGGATGAAGAGTTCGGGTCCTTGATTGAGAACGAGACATGGGATCTATGTGACTTGCCTCCTGGGAAGAAGGCAATCACTTTCAAGTATGGACCTGAAGGGGAGCTGACCCGCTACAAGTCTAGGCTTGTGGCAAGGGGGTTTCAGCAGACAAAGGGAAAGGACTATGATGAGGTGTTTGCTCCAGTGGGGAAAGGAACAACACAAAGGGTGCTGTTGGCGATAGCTGCACTCCTGGGATGGAAATTTCGGCAGAAGGACATTGTGACTGCCTTTCAGAATGGGATCATTCTGGAGGAGGTGTACATGGAGCAGCCAGAGGGGTTGGATGATGGGAGCGGCAGGGTCTGCAAGCTGAAGAAGGCCATCTATGGCCTTAAGCAAGCGCCTCGTGCATGGTATCACAAGTTGGAGGAGGCGCTGCTGGCTGGGGTTTTCAAGAAGAGTGAGTGTGACCCCAGCCTGTTCCTGCTGCAGGAGAAGGATGAAATCCTCATCCTCTTGGTGTATGTGGATGATATCCTTCTCTTCTCTGCATCAACTGCTGTGCTGGATAGCGAATAGCAGGTGCTGGAGATGCAGTTCAAGAACTCCAAGATGGGTGAGGTGAAGTACTACTTGGGGATGCATGTGGAGAGAGATATAGAGAGGGGTGTGCTGAAGTTGCACCAGAGGAAGTACTGTGAGGGGCTGGCTGAGAAATATGGGCTGTAAGATGGGGGAAAGCGAGAAACACCACTACCTTTGGGGTTTACTGTGGAGCCATGTGCTGATGAGGAGTTAGTGGGTGAGAGTGACAAGAAGCTGTTTCATTCGATGGTTGGGTCGCTGATCTATGCTGCAAATCATTCACGGCCTGATATTGCATTTGCTACATCACGGCTAGCTAGCGTGGTTTTACGCCCTAGTCATGAGCTGCTGGAAGTGGCCAAGAGGTTGGTTCGCTATGTGAGTGCTACGGCATCAGTGGGATTGGAGTATAGTGGAGTGAGGCAGCGATTGCGGAGAAGTGCTGCAGATGTGAAGAGTGGAGAGCAGGGCTGTCGATTCGTTTGGGGCCAATACTGTTATAAACACAATAAGCTCAGATGTGCCAAAAATGAGAGATAGAGTGCACAGTCGGATTTCCATCAGACCGCTTCAAATATTGATACCAATCTGAGATAAAACTCAAACTGCAATTTGTAAGTTGGATCTCGAGCAATTTGCTCTCGCTTATCAGCAGCAAGTTGAATAAGGAAATTCCATGAAGATTTGACGATGCTATGGCAGTTTGACTGGCAGGAGGTAGAGCAGCCACTATTGTCTTAGAAGTACAAACTTAGCAAGGAGAATGGAGATTGAGATGGTTCTCAGCCTCTACAAGCCCCAAGAGCCGAGGTCCAGGTTGGTGGTACACCACCACGAAGTCCCCAACCACTAAGGGACTCGAAACAAACCCAACAAGGGGCTGCACCAAGTGAAATGTAACACTGCATGAAGTAGCATTACTATTTTCACTATTTTAATATTTATCCATTTCCCTTGGGCTTGAATTCTTGAGCTCTTGGTCTTGGTTCTGCAAGATAATTTCTTCTTGAATTAATAAGGGCTTGCTGCGCACACCTGCAATGCCATGGACACTTCACACTCGACAAAATAGAAAAAAACACATGCGACATGCAAACGACGACTTGACATGCGAGTAGTGAAAACTCGCCAACGACTTGACCAAAGCTGTCACATGATCGAATGACTCAAGGAAAGATTGCACTATCGATCAGTGCAAGGCGCTTTTATACTTCCAGAGTACATCAGGTAACCAGGTTTATCCTATCCAAAGGGAATAGACCCTTCTAGAAGATAGAATCACCCTGCGTATAGCCACGCGAGGCTATTGGCTTTAAGGGATTACGGCAGAATTACGCTAGATATAGCGCGCCAGTACATCCCAAGCCTGGTCGGTGACATAATTAGAATATCAAGATGAACTTATGGATAATGGAGAATGGAGAATAGGAAACCAAATGAGATGGGATAAAAAGAGAAATGAAAGAGGAAGGAAATAAGGAGAAGTCAAGTAGTATAACGGGGTCGTACTCTCACAAACGCAAACCACATGTTGATACACCATTCAAGCATACTTAAAATCACCAGATAGCAATGCCATAGACTCACAAGTCATTCCATGCCGTGCAAGCGCACACACGAACAAGGACGACAAGCCGAGTGCAAGCCATAGGGTTGCACCAACAGTAACCCATTCGGAAGGTTATCGGGGAAGGTCTTCGGGAATTGTTGGGTCACTTGATGTAGGCCTTCGGGTTGTGACAATAACAGCTTGTCGGTGTAATGAGTTTCGACTGTTTTGTCCTATTTGCGCAGCGCCAGTGCAAACACCTACGCGCCGAACTTGGCTGCTCCCTTAATGGTGATGGGCTTTGACTTGCACAGTACTGGCACTTGGCTGCTGCCACTTCAGTAGTGTGGTATTCTCTATTATAGCAGACACTATAACCGATACGTGACCAATTGATGCGCGGGTTGAACCTCGCAAGCCAATCATGTTCCGGGAGCAAATCCATGCCGTCAGGAATAGCAACCATTAAGCCGTGCTTGGATAGAAGTCCCCTCCATATTTTTAATCTAAGGCCTCTTTTCCTTCAATGGTGAGTGGGGTGCCAACCACTAAGCATGGGTCGATGTTAAGTAAACACCACCCCAGTATCAGTTGCATTTTTTTAGCAGGTTCGATGTTGACTAGGCAGTGGATGGCCCCGCAATCAATGGAAACCTCTAACGTTGTTCCGTGCACTTTGGCTATTAATATTATTACGACATCCGTTGATTTACCCCCCTTATATGGTCGGGTCGACGGCGTGAGTCCACTTATCCAGGCACCCCATTAGCAGGTTGCCCATCTACTACTGATCATTCTTGTTTACCTGCTGCTGTTGCTTGCCCTTTTTCTCCTTGCCTTGCTTCTTCGCCAGCTTGGGGCATTTGGACTTACGATAACCATGCCGATTACACTGGAAACAAACCCCGCAAAAAGCTACTTCGGCTGATGTTTGTGCATTCACGGTGCGTACCTTGGCTTGGCCATACGGTCCTCGCGTTCAATGTGTGATAATGGTTGAATCGTTCAGCTGTGACGAGAATTTGTCAAAATCGAGGATCTTGCGCATTGTAATTTTCTGTGTGATCTTTGGCTTTTGTCCTCCCAAACAGCGACCATTTTTTTTCAATGATCTGCATGAAGTCCCCCTTGTTGCTCAGTGAAAAAGATTGGGCGTATACGACTCGACCGATCCTAGCTGTCGCCAAGTGCGTAGTTTCTCACGGACAACTTCTTGCTTGTCGACACCGTCGAATCGTGCCCTGGGAGCCTCGCTCCACATATCCCACGTGCAATGCGGGGTCCATTTGAGGGCTTCCTCCCCTCCTGACTCCGCGTCCAAGCTTCGTCTCATTTCCGTCGGTTGCACGGGGTTGACCAGTAGGTTGGTTCCACCAGGTGCTAGCAACGCCTTGCAGCAGTGGAATGGCATATGTTATTTTTGCCTCGTTGTTCCGCTTGTGACACACTTGATAGAATGCGTTCATATGCCGTATCCATGCACGAATGATGGACAATACTCGGGTCACCAGTTTGAAATTTGGCGGCCGCTACAGCATCAACGCGCACTAAAACCAAATCGAGGGTCGAGGCAAAAGGTAAGTCGCGGGCGCCAGCATTGACGTGATGTTCGTGTGCTGCCTGGCTTTGGCTGTCAGTGGGCATCAGAATTTCCACCTCGATTCCCCCTTGTGCCATCTTGCTGCTGCTGTTGGTGTTTTCTCTGGCATTTTATGCGGCAAGCTTCGGTGGCGGTTATTGATTAAAAATTTTGGTGGTGGATGGTGACTGTTCGCTCGGTCCATCTTTGCCTCTTATAGCCGTCGTATGCAGGTGTGTGATCGTCCCCTGCATATCTTGTATCTCTTGCTATTACTTTGCATGCGGCTGCCATATTTCTTTGATGAGCCAGTTCTTCTTGTCAGCATGTGAGCTTTGGTTGGGGCGCATGGCGGCTGGCGCTGCTTCTAAGTAAGGACGTAGTGGGAGTCGTAAGGTTTAGGCCAGAAATCAGGTAGAACGGGGATTGGGCAGTCGTGGAGGAAGGGGCGTTATTATGCACGAACTCGATCAAAGGGAGCGAATCTTCCCATTGAGTCGGGTTGGTACAGGTTGTCCGTCTCAACTGCACCATGGTCTGATTTGTCCGTTTAGTCTGACCGTCAGTCTGTGGGTGGTAAGCCGTTAAAATTTTGGAAACGTGTGTCGTACTGTTCCCACATTTTTTTTCCATAAGTTAGACGTAAATTGGGGGTTACCATCGCTCACGATCGCCTCTAGGATTCCGTGCAGGTGAATGACTACCGAGATGAATAGCTTGGCAGTTTGCTCGACTTAGATCGACGTTCGGCATGGTGCGAAATGAGCCATTTTTGTGAGTCGGTCAACGAGCATGAGTACAACACAATGTTGTATGCCCTGGCTGGCAGTCCTGTCACGAATTCCATGGACACGTCTGTCCAGGGCTTGGTGGGTAGTGCTAACGGTTGCAGTTGTCCAGCTGGTCATTGGCGAGAGGATTTCATGAGCTGGCAGGTGGGACGTGAGGCCACGTATTGCTGTACATCATGGCTCGCATTCGGCCACTAATAATGACATTGGAGCATTTTCAAGGTTTTATCAATTCTGAAATGTCCATATCTGTTCACGTCGTTTTTTTCCTGTATTAGTAGCTCCTGGAATATGCGGCAAGAGGGAACCCAAAATCGGTCAGTACCGTATTTTAGGTAATAATGCCCTCGTCGGGTAGTTAGAGCATGGTGGCTATTAGAGGTGAAGAATGGGTCTATAGCATCGCAGTGGTAGTCAAGTAAGTATAGGATTAGCTTGGGCAATAGTACGGCAACTATATGGGCAGTAGGGAGGGAAAGGGGGTCGGGAATATTATTTGCCCCCTCCTTGTAGGTGAGGCGATAGTGGAAGTTGGACTCGAGGTATTCAAGCCAACAAATCTGATGTGGATTGAGGGTCGGTTGGGCTCGGAGGAACTGTAGGGACTTATGGTCTGTTCGGACAATAACGTCGGCACCCGATCGGTAGCAGTGCCAGGTCTTGAAGGCATTGACTATAGCGAGCATCTCCTTGTCGTGAACCGGGTAATTCCATTCAGTGCCTTGGAGTCTTCGCTAGTCGTAGGTGATTGGTTGAAGAACTTTGCCAAAAACTTGTAACAGACACCAACAACGATGTCCCTGGCGTCCATAACCAGTTCCTACGGGCGGTCAGGGTCGGCCCGTTTATGTTGTTGAGCGCGTGATAATCGGTACACATCTATAGCCATCCGTCCTTGTTTGGGGTGAAGAGAATCGGAGCGGCGTAGGGTGACGTGGATGGGCGGATGAATTTCTTCTCCCGGAAATAAACTAGTTGGGTACGCAGCTCCTATAGTTCTGGCTGACTCAATCTCCACTGAGATCGGACGATCGGTTGTGCTCTAGATGCTAGCTTGATAGTATGATGGTGTGGTGCTTCGGGTGGTAGGCCAGGCGGTAGGTCACCAGGAAAAAACTTCTCATACTTGTGCATGATCTTCGTCAGATTCAGCAGCACACAGCTTCTCGAGGTCAATCTGCTCCACTGAAGACATAAATGTGATCCATCAGATGTCGTAGATGTCTACACCTTACGCCATCACACGCTTCATCATCTCTTGGTTTACAATTGTTGACTGGGATTGGGTGGTTTCCACTTCGGCAGCCGTCGTCACTCGCCACCCCATTTCAGGCGAAGTTTGCCATTCCTCCAATCGATGCTTGGAGTGTATGTGCGAAGCCAATTGCACATCGCAGCTGTCCAAAGTAGTCGCTAGCATCTACATGGCGAAGCTAACTTGGTTGTCGCAATCAATGAGAACGTGTTTCACCCGCTCCCGAATTGCAAGTGGCGTGCCGTCGACAAACCGCGCGTCAACCTCGGGCATGTAATTGCCCGAGGCATGGTACCGCTCCATTTGCAGTTGCAATTTCTTCGCTCTTGTCACATCGAACAGACAGTGTGATGCTTCACCATCCTAAAATACCTTTAGTCAAGTGGTATCATCTTGCCCTTCCACCAGCACTGGGCAGTCAACAGGTTCACTCCCCTTTAATTAGGTATGGTCGATCGCATAAATTGGCACTACTATTCGGTGGGAATGGTGATATTTGGGCGATGAAGCCTTGTCACTATGTGGGCCAACTGCTACTAACTTTGTCCATTTCCTGGCTTCCTTCCGTCATTTGCTCCCGATCTCTGCAACTTCGGACAGTCCTTTATAATGTGACCTGGCTGATTACAACAAAAACTCCTACCACTAAATCTATTATCTGTCGGAGCTGCCACGCCATTGATGGATGGGTAGTTGTTCTGCCCTTGAAAACGGCTTCCCTCCAGGAAAATTTCTCTCGGAATTACGATGTTTTTGTCTCACGCCTATGTGACCCGCTGCAACTCCATGAATGTCATTGGGCAGCGCATGCGAGTTTCTCGCTGCACCTCCGGTTTCATTCCTATTATGCACCTGCTCATCTTCTTTGTTGTGCATAGGTCATCGATTTTGTCGTAGATGGTGAGGAACGATGACGAGTATTCTTTAACAGATCCCAATTGACGCCATCCGCACAGCTTCGCACAAGTGTAGTCGCATGCGGATACATGCTCAAATCGTTTGTGAAGTAGTGCACCCCACTATTGCTAGGTAAGGCTCTCGGCCACACCAAACAAGGTTACTGTTGAAGCTGACCTAAGCCACCGCCAACTTGATGCTTGTCTCGCTGTCGTTGACGTCAACATCATTGAATAACAGTTCCATGGCGAACAGTCAGGCACTCAGCGTCATATGTTTTTCGATGGGTTGAACGGTGGGGGCATTGCTGGCTTAGTCTTCACAACTGCCTACCACTCGCTCGTGTTGTCGTCATGCACTGCTGACGTCGACAGCTTGGTGCGCACTCGCACGGTCTTCGTCCACTGTAACTGGCGATCCCTGAAGCGTTTCACCACAAGCCTGGTGAAGGCTCGCGTTTTCTTCCTTCAGTTGGGTGCGCTCAAGGGACACCGCCTCCATCTTCGCCATCATCTCACCAAAACTTCGTCGTCAGAACTGAAGCACTTAGTGCCGCCTCTGACAGCTCAACAATTTGCTTAGGCGTTCTGTTTCTAGGACTACAGCAAGGAGGAATATTAACCATTAATGACCCTAGCTAGCCCATGCCACTAACAACACTATGGCCACCTGCAGCGTTAGATACATGGAGCTCATACGACAAAACTGACTGGACTAAAGAAGTCTGTGCACTGGACAACTCATGTCTCCTAATGTGCGAGGTCCCTCTACAAGCTACCTCTCTACGGAAGATTAAAGGGGCAGGAACATAGCTTTTACCCACTCAGAATTAGTTGCTTTAACAGCTTTAGGTGTGAAACTGTCAAAAGTTACAAACATTTCCGCAGTTACAAAATGTACATCATGTAAAGAATTAGTAATTCCTTACTGAGGCGCACTGCTGGCGCGTACACCGAACATATACGGCACCGGACTAGGCCCTAGTTCCGTCATCGTACGTGCTACACCGAACGATTCTGCGTCATTCCGGAGCGCTCCGCGTCCTCGGATGCTTTCTCTGAACCTGTGCATCACGCGGTTAAGATTCGCTCTGGTGTTCGTGTCAAACATATTTGTGTATGTTTAGTAGACTACATAGGGTCTTGGCATAGAGAGTACAACCCAGTAGCTACACTGGCGGAAAGTATTGCCCGGATAATTGCCTTAAAACATTTCTCGTACTGGTTTGGTGCCTTCTTTGTTTAGTTACGAATCAAATTTCGGGGTTGGATGTAAAGTATTAGTGTACTGTATGTGACGGATGCTGGTTTCAGATTTATAGGGGTCGATTTTTTACCGAGGACGAGATTTCGTTCGCGTGGGTGCATCCGGACAGTTTAAGCCAAGCAGCGTAGTAGATCTATTTCCTAACTTCGCTATTTCTTCTTACTTGCCCTCGCGACTATCGAGTAGTGAGGAGATAGGCTAAGACCGCTGCGACAATTAGGCCATCATGAAACCGTTAGATGAGGCGCTCTACGCATAGATCATTCCCTTGTTGCAGAGGGGGTATAGCAATCGTTGAATCGCTAAACAGCTAGGCATATGGAAGAGTTCGGTCCATCAAGGTGATTGTAGAGTCTAGCTGCGATGACGTGCGTCCTACGATGCCCTCAGCCGGTCGCCCTCGCTTAGTGACAAAGAGAGTTCGCCGCGGCATAGTTCGGTCGATTACCAGCGAGGAGGCAGAAATCTCCGCTCACGTGGCAAAAATCGTTGAGAAGCAGCACGGCATCACGTTGCATCCTAAGACATTGCGTAACGCTTTGAATGGGAGCGGACTTGTCGCAATCAAGCATCCCAAGAAGCCGCGACACTCTCGGAAAAACATACGCGATAGGTTGGAATGGGCGCGTGCCCACGCAGACTGGACGGTTGACGACTAGAAGCCAGTGATCTGTTCGGATGAGACCAAGATCGGTCGTCTTGCATCCGACGGACTCTCATACGCCTGCGTTCACGAAGGGACTGCCCTCCAAAGACACCAAATCAAGCAGACCGTCAAACACGGGGGCGGTTGCTTGATGATTTACGACTGCATGTTGTAAAAGGGAGCGGGTTTCATGAGCAAAACATATGGTAGGATGGACGGACTGCTCTCGCTGAGTAGACTGCAGGACGATCTCAACAGTACGATTGAGCTTTACGAGCTTACACCCTCAAAAACTATCTTCCAGCACGACAACGACCCGAAGCACAGGTCTCGTATCATACAGGAGTGGCTTAGAGAGCAAGATTTTGGGGTGCTAGAGTGGTCGTATTCCTCACCCGACCTCAACCCAATGGAGCATTTATGGGCTCATCTCAAGAGGCAGCTGGCCAAGCCTTATAAGCCTCCCACTGGTATGCTGGACCTTTGGGAGCGGGTGCAGGAGGAATGGAGAAGATCCCGGCGGATGTGTGCACCCACCTGATGGAAAGCATGCCCAGGAGGGTGAGGGTGGTGTCCAAGGAGAAAGGGCGGTGGATTAGGTACTAGTTTGGGGTTGATGTAACTTGCTGCTTGCGCCTGGCAATAATTGTCCACATGTACCAAGATTGTTATTTTCTAGTATTTGTTGTAAACATCATTATACTTGTGTGATGTAAGGCATGGGCGTAGAGCCTTACCCCAACCTACATACACTAGGCACACCAGAAGATTAAGGCTTAATGTCCATGACCCCCTAAAATGGCAAAATTCCTCTAAGTCACAAACATGTGGACAATACTTTCCGTCAGTGTATATACCCCGGTATACTCTCATTCTATTTACACTTCTAACTCTGAGATGGTATCATGAGTAGGTTAGATCCCCCCCCCCCACCCGCGCTTCCGTCTCTGAGATGGTATCATGAGTAGGTTAGATCCCCCCCCCCCACCCGCGCTTCCGCCTTAGGTCCTAGCCTGCCCCATCGCCTAGCGCCTAGCCGCCCCAAGGGCCTCGCTGCCCCGTTGCCTTGCTGGCCCCGCGGCCCTGTTCCCTAGCGCCTAACCGCCCCGCTAGCCCAGCGGCCCCGTCACCTAGCGCCTAGCCGCCCGTGGCCCCGTGGCCCCGTCACCCAGTGCCTAGCCACTCTGCTGGCTCCGCATCCGCGTTGCCCCTAGCGTAGCCGCCCTGCCACCCCGTCGCCTAGCTGCACCGTGGCCTAGACGCCCCGTTGCCTAGCGGCCCCGTGGCCTAGCCACCCCGTGGCCAAGCCGCCCCGTGGCCCCGTCGCCCAGCCGCCCCGCGGCCTCGTCGTCCAGCCGCCCCGTGGCCCCGTCACCCCGCTGCTCCATGGCCCCGTCGCCCAGCCACACCGCAGCCCCATCACCCCACAGCTCCGCGGCCCCGTTGCCCAGCCGCCCCGCGGCTCCGCCGCCCAGCCGCCCCGCGGCCCCGTCTCCTAGCTGCTCAGACACCATGTTTCTCAGTCCCCGCCCACTTCACCGGCCCTCTCCACCGTCCTGCACTGCGCCCCACTGTGCTGCACCACTCAGCACCACACTGCACCACGCCCCACCGCACTGTACCGCGCCCCACCTCACTGCACCGCACTGGACCGTGCCCCCGCTTTAAGTCGGTCAGGACTGCGCAGGAGTTCCTAGAGGCTGTTGTCGCGCGTTATTCCACCCCGTCCTTTGCCTCTGCCGGCCGCCTGATCCTTCCCATGCTCTTCCCTGATCTCGCGTCTTTCCCCAAGGCTGGGCGCGGCGGGGGTGGAGGAGGGGGTGGAGGTGGTGGTGGAGGTGGTTCATCCGCTGGCGGTAGTACCGACGAGGGGGATGGGGCTAGTGCCTCGGAGCCGTAGCCCTAGCGGGAGCAGGAGCAGGCGCCATAGCTTGACCAGCGGCAACAGCAGCA